CTTACTGATATTTTTTTGTTGTTGTTTTTCTACTTTTCTCTGGCAGTGGTGATGATATGAACACTTTACAATCTATTTTTAAAATATCGGCAAAATTTTGGAAAAAAAAATAAATGAAAATTCCACAAGCGAAAATATTGTTTTCACACAGGGTGACCCTCGAAAAGCAAAACTGTATTGTTCTAGTTGTAATAATTATGTGAAATCATCAACTGATGTCAAAATTTGTAGTTCAAGTAACAAAAAATCTCATTTTCATAGGGCAATTAAAGTTAGGTGTAAAAATCAAGAATGTAAAAATTTTGATTCATTTACCACCTTAATATGCCCCTTTTGTTCAAAGTCTTTTTCAAATGCAACCACTTTAAAGAAACATTTGAAAAGTGAGCACACAAATAGAAATAGTATATTCAATTGTTGTAATGTGATAACCTCTGAAGAAGCAACAATAATGGAACATATAATTGATAATCATCTTCCTCATATTGATTCATTAGATCAACTAACATCAAATTCTTGCAACCATTCCGTACAACAGAATGACAATAATATTAATTTTAGGCACGTTCCAGAAGGTGCACAAACAGATGAAAATGCTTATTGGGCAGTTTGGAAAATGAGCAAAAATTCAAAAACATTAATATTTGAGCCCAATAGTGATAAATCAGTTAAGGAAGTTGGTGATGAATTAGAAGAATCATATAAGAAAGTTATTGGAGATTTATTTGATTGTAGTTCAATAATTGAATCAAAACAAATTGAAAATAAAATCAGAAAATAATCTTGGGTATGAAAAATATTCTATTAATGCAGTCAAATGTCTTCTTAATTCACCTTGAACAAACACATGCATAAAGTCAACTGTTGAATTCTTAAATACGTCATGATTTCTTAGCTTATACAATGGGTTATCTTGTTTTTCAAGTGTAACACCATTTTTTTTCATTTGAGTGAGCTTTCTTTGTACAGTATTGTAATCAAATTTTGAATCAATTAATTCAATTTCTTGTTTTGATAATAATTTAAACCCTTTTCTTTCCTTTTTAGGTGTTTGGTTTAAAGCAATCGCTCCAAATCAATACTTAATGTTTAAACAAGAAGGAAAATTATACATAGGATGTATTCAATCACATACAAAAGATACAGTTAAATTTGGAAAAGTGTGGATTGTTACAAATGATTATCACCAAGTATGTCAATTCAGAAAATTGAATAGAGTGAAATCTTCCAATTTAAACGTTGATTGGAAAGATATCAATGCTAGATGCCAAGTTGTTTACATTGATTCCAAGTTTTACTTGAATCAATTTATGTTAATCATGAATTATTATAAATTTTAAAAATTTTGAAATTCTTTTACAATAAAAAAATTTAATATTGAAATAATAATATATTTATTCGATAGTTGTTCAACCTTTTCAGGTAAAAAATTAAATTTATGTAATAAAGGACTCATTCTATAATATTACGGAGGAGATACTAATTGACGGTGTGACGGTAAATCCCGTCTAACGGGATCCGTCAGATGTAATAAGCTGTCAAACGGGACAGTCAGCAGTAAGAGACGGAGCAAGAATGGAATTAAGGGAAATACTAATGTATCATTCTATAATAAATCCAAAATGGAAAAATTTAAAATGGAAATAAATTCACAAACACAACACCTCTGTTGTGGAATATTCACTAAAATCAAAGATTTCTCTCTTTCTGTCTCAAATTTAAGAATGACATGAAATAATTTGACTTAGTTGATTAAAACACTGTTGAGAAACTACCCTTCTTTTTATGAGAAGTTTCCTTCTCAAACAATTCAGGTAAATAGTAAACTTTGGAAAGTTCAAATTTTGATTTTTTACTGAAAATGAAAAATATGGATTAATTGATATGAGTGTGATCCCTATAAGGTGTAGATGTTGAAAAAGTTGGTTATCTTTGAAATTCAATTTGATCTTAATGATGTTTAAGGAAATAAGGTTAATTGTTCGATTTAAGGTGAAAGAAATGAAATAACAAGAAAAAACAAGAATTTTATTATTTTAATATCATTGTGTAATGTTCACAATGAGTTTGATAATTTTTGAATCACTCTTGAAGGAGTGAATCATAAAAGGTTGG